ACCAATTTACTATGTCATTCTAGAAGTGTCTTCAATTGCCTCATGAAAATTTAGGGGAATCTTGTGAAGCTACAGTTGAAATTCTTTATAAAAAATTCTGAATGTTTATAGTCTGCAAGCAGTGAATTATAGCTAATGTTTTCCCATCACTACAAGTATACTTAGTTTTGTTGGGTCACTGTCACTGTCACTGTCCTCCCGTTGTTCATCGATTTGCTTGCGCGGGCCCAGTAACGTCTCCATTGTGAGACTTGTTGTTACTGTGTTTGGCATATCGAATACGGCACAGGGAGCTTGCCAGGCTTTGCCGTGAGGGCGAGAAACTCTTGGTAGCTTGTCGGGCTCTCTGAGAGGGGCAGAGGAATTGAACTCGGGTCGGCCGTGTTGGCCACATGCAAGGCAAACACCCTACCCACTGTGCTATCGCTCCAGCCCTTTGTACTTTGAGTTTTTTGCAGGGAGGTGTGGCTCAGAACTGAGGATGCGGAGCTGCTCAGGCCCCATGGTACCCAGAGATCACATTCAGAGCCACACAGTGGTGTACAGAGGCCAAGTGCCAGAACTTGAATTTGAATCCTGGTACATCAATGAACTATTGCCCTAGCTCTTATATGTGCTGTTATAATTGGACTTTAACTGATGAATTTATCATGTTCCTTTGAAGATTGTAGGTGAGATAAACCAATGGTAGCACTGTTCAAAGATAATGAGGTAAAAACTGGATCCTCTGAACTGCTGTCTCAGACAGTCCCTTGAGGTCAAAAGAGTGATCTATTTGAGTTAAAATCCCAAACAATTCTAGCACAATACTGAACTCTGTGAAGAATACAGACTTGAGTTCTTCCTAAGATTCAGATAAAATATATAATCAAACTGAGGAAAATCTTCAGTATTTGCTCTTAAAGCTCACAAATTAATACTATACACAAAGTTGAACATCATAATACTATTAATAAAGAATATATACTTTTCTTTTCTTTTCTTTAAAACTGCCTTTGCCACAGGGAAGTACAAATGAGGTAAGTTAACGTTTTAAAATTAAGAACTATGTATTTGTAGATATGATATGCTTATTTTATAAAGAGTAGATTAGAAAGTCATTGGTGACCAATGGTTCTGTACTTTTGGTAGTTTCGTGAAATTTTACAATGTTTAAAAGTATTTAATGATGTTTTAAAACTATTTAATGTGTTCCAGAACTGATGCATGATTTCAATCATACAAACATAAGAATTACCATGAATATAATGTTTCTTTCATGAATGTCAAAAAAATTAATTCTTCTGTAGTTTTGTTTTGTTTTGGGGAAGGGTCTATATTTGGTGGTGCTCAGGGCTTATTCTAGGTTCTATGCTCAGGGATCACTCACTAAGGACTCAAGGCAAACACCTTATCTGCTGCACTATTGTTCTGGAAAAAATAATCAAATTATTATGCTTTAACATTGTTGCATTTTGCTCTGCTGCACGGTAAAGCAAGTATTTATGGATCTTGAGAAAACATTACTGAATAATGTTTTAAACAGAGCTACAGTCCAATCTTTGAAGAGAAGGAAGTAATTCAATGTGTTAAAATCAAAATATAACCAAGTAGGAAAATAAAATTTTGCACCAATGTGTATTCGTGAAACTGAATATAGTACCGTTAATTCAAACTTAAAATCAAAAGAAAATGGACAGCGGATTACAAAAGACAATTTCATGGTAGTAAACAAAATGAAAATTAAAAAAAATGAAATTTCCTGGTGATCAACTACTATTTAAAAGGAAATGAAGCTGTAAACAGCTTTTAAAAATATTAACTTTGGAAAAATAAATTCACTTTGTGGCCAGAAATACAGCAGGTAAGGTGCTTGCCTTGCATACTCGAGACCTGACTTCGATCCCTGCACCACATATGGTCTCCCAGCTTGCCAAGGAGTGATCCCTAAGTACAATGCCAGGAGTAAGCCCCGAGCACAGCTGGGTGTGATCCCGAAATGAAAGCACAGTATTTTTTTTAAGTCCCTTTTTACAAACTCCAAAATCATCTAAGATAAATTGGGTCATTAAATTATACTTAGAAAGCAATGTATAAAAATACCTGTTTTAAGTTCTGTTAAACAACAGTCAGAGAGGAAGTTTTAATGAAGGCTTTCGATTTCTTAATAAGGCTTTGTAAGCTATAAAATAGTAAGTGGAAAAAGGATACTGGGCATGTTTAAATAAAAGATACCAGTATGGCAGCAGCGGGGGCAACATACATGTTTACCAGTATGACTATATCAGAAAATAATGAGGGAATGAAAGTGGTCTGATTTTGGAAAACCTGTAAGATCACACTTGATAGCAAGTGATTTAGCCATTATAGTGGAAGTTGAGTGTTTTCAATCCACCTCTCCTAGAAAACAGGAGGCTGTGCTTGATGAGGCATGTAACATAAAGGAAACGCAGTCTGAGAGTAGTAAGATTTTCCATGAAGAACAATCCATGAAAGAAGCAATCTACATGCATTGGAGACTTAAAAAACACTTTGGAGTTTGCTAAATTAATCATATTGTTTCCAAATTTTAAGATACTAAATCTTACAGTGCTTGAAACTAGTGACTCTAAAAATAAGAAATTTATATATTTAATGAAAGGTTTATAATCTTTATTCTTACATTTCTAGGCTTTATACAAACTTTACAGTGCAGCAGCAACCCACAGACATCTTTATCATCAAGCTTTTCCTGCACCAAAGTCAGAAGCTGCTGAACAATCAGAAAAGAAGAAAATTTAACCTGAATTTTAAAAATACGGGTGCATGATCAATTGTCAATTAAATACTCCGTTTGTCTCCATGTAAACATTCAAAGTGCTTCTTCCATCAAAACAGTAATACAAGCACCTCTGAAAAATGCAAAATGGTTCTTTTACTTCAGTGTTTAATAAACAGATGTATGTATGCATGGTTATATCATTTTCTTAACATGTAGTTTCCTGGTTTTGTCTTTAAACTGCTGTTATAATTTAAAATATTTGTCTATTTATAATACTATAACGTGTTATGCTTGAAATTTACTAAATTCTACTACTGGGTTATAACTAAACCATGTAGTGATATTACTCCACATTTGGGTATGCTCATTTAATTTCTATAGTATTTTAAAATTATTTTACATTCCCATTTGTTAAAAGCATAGCATCAGAACTCAAAAAGCTTGATCCTTAGTCATTTTTCATATATCAGTTTTTAGTTAACTTTAAATACATGAGTTTTTTAGTTGCTTTATCAAAAACTATATATTGCTTTTTATAACTATATAGAATATAGACCTCTTGATAAAAAAATGCACAAAAATCACTTTGTATATGTATCTGTGTTTCATTGCATTGTATATTTTTTTCATTTGGTACACAAAGAAATGTATTCATAGGTTTATTCTTTTAACATGTGAACTATTAAAATTTACTCTGGTTCCTATGATTAAAAACAAATGCTACTGAATTTGGAAATGTTTGGGAGACTTTTATATGGAATGAGAAAGGTGTGTTTTTATATAAGATGTACCTTTTTTTACTTTTTATAAGGTGCCTTTTTTTAAGGCACCAAGAAGGATGTGTCTTTTTCAACATACATTTTCTTTAATGTTGACACTATTACAAATTTTCCTACTTAAAGAAAAACACTAATACCCTGAGTTACTTTCCAGTTCTTTTCTTCTGGGGAGAAAGGGGTTTGGAGTTAGGTTGGGCCACACCCACTGGCAGTGCTCAGGGAGCATATGTGGTGAAAGAAACTGATCCCCGGTCTTCTGAGTTCAAGGCAAGCACTGTAACTACTATACTACCTCTGGCCCCTCCAGTTCTCTAAAACAAGCCAATCCTATATTTCCATAAACTAACATCACTAATGGAGTTTCACTGGGCTGATCAGAGGGGAAAAAAAGTATGGTTTTTAAGAAGTTAACACTTCCTATTTGGGAGGTCTAATTTCTAACTCCTAAGTGGTAAATAAAGGAGTAACAAGAAATAGTAAGAGAGAAGACTGTGTCAGAGTTCATAAGATACAAAACCCTACATCTTAAAAAACTTTTTCATGTCTTGCAAAACCTATTTCTTACTGATAAAATTCCATTTATTTCCCTTTCACTATATTTAGTCCTTTGCCTATGGACTTCCTGAATGGAAAAAAATATATTAATAGGACTATGCATAAAACACTGATCAAACACAGTTTCCACAAAAATATATTTTAATAAGCTTGTTATATAAAATCAAACATTCAACATTTTCAACATTTTATCAATAATTCAAAATTCACTGATACCTATCTGGGAGTGCTTTGTATTTTGAAAGATTACCTCAGCTAGATATACTTACATATTTACAACACAACTAACCAATTACAATTAACTAAAGAGCCACTTCAACAAATATTTAAATTCACAGAATTATAAAGATTTGTAGGCTAAAAATACCATAAAGTTGTCTATCAAAAATGATGCACTAATTATGAACAATGCATTAACTATTAAACCAAAAGGAAAAATTCTGGGTTTTAAAGTTCTGTGACAAACTTTGAAGAGAACAAATAATATGTAAAATCACTTAATAACTAAGTTTCATAATGAATCCCTGATTGTCAATTTTGGCAATTCTAAAGTCTCTGAATGGCAGCATGTGAAGCTTTTGGAAACTATCTACTTGATTTTCCCCATCAAGGCAATACCACTGAAATGCTGTAAGAACCCTGGATAAAAGTGAGGAAGTGATGTTAGCAATTTTGAGTGCTGCACTCAATTTAGGCCCAAGCCTAAACTTAATAATAAAAAAAGATTACAGGGCCTTCCTCTTTTGCATACCGAAAAAAAAAATACTTTGACATTTTATGTTTTAAACTACACAATGACAATACTTCTGATTCCAAACAGTATTTCACACTAACAAAGCAACCAGGGGCGGGGGGTGGGGGGGTTGTGTGTGTGTGTGTGTGTGTGTGTGTGTGTATGTGTGTGTGTGTGTGTGTCACACCCAGCGATCCTCAGTGGTTATTCCTGGCTCTGCACTCAAGAATCACTCCTGGCGGTTCTTGGGGGACCATATGGGATCCCAGGGATTGGACCTAGGTCAGCTGCATGCAAGGCAAGCACCCTATCTGCTGTACTATCAGTCGAACCCAGCAACTTTCTTTTAAGTTATCTCTCCTTTTTGGGGGGGAATAGTGTTGGAGTCAAACCCAGGATCTCATACATTTAATGTATGTAGTCCACCACTAAGTCACATCCTCTGCCCTCTATGATTGATGAAGGAAGGACTATTTTCAGAGTTTACAATGATCACTTCCTACTTACAATCTGGTTAAAATGACATTTCTTTCTTTATTTTTCCCCATCCAGACTAGTCAAAACCATTTACAGTATCTGAAAGTGTTTGCCATGTTGGCTCTTAGAATGATAAACTCGTATTTTGATCAATTAAAAATATTTTTAACAATAAAAGTAGAATTTTACAATTTCCAAAAATGTAAGCTGCCTTTATTAACCAAAGTATTTGTTTGCAGTATTTTATTTAAAAACAGTAAAGCCCTTATAAAACTTTAATTTTAAAACAGTATCTTAAAAATTCTTGCCATGTTGCTGGGCATACCACTGCTGTCTCTGCTTTCGATTTTCCAATTCTGTGAGGAGAGCCTGTCTGTAGGCTTCATACATTTTAACAATCTGTTCCAGTTCTTTCATGAAAAGCAACTTGAGCATTCCCTGGTAAGTATCCAGGTCAGCCAGCTGGAAGAGTTCCCATTTCAGAATATGGTCGTATCTGTTTTAAAAGACAATCACATATCTGTTCACAACATACATGTGTATTTAAAACAACGAAATGGTCTATTTTTATAGATACTATCATAATCTGGAGTGATAGCATAGCAGTAGGGCGTTTGCCTTGTGCGCAGCCACTCGGCCAAGCCGGGTTCAATTCCTCTGTCCCTCTCGAAGAGGCCGGCAAGCTACCGAGAGTATCTCACCCACATGGCAAAGCCTGGCAAGCTCCCCGTGACTTATTTAATATGCCAAACACATTAACAATTGTCACAATAGAGATGTTACTGGGCCCGCTCCAGCAAATCGATGAACAATAGGAGGACGGCGATAGTGACAAGCTTTATTTAAAATTGCTAAGTTAAATAACTGCTACTTAAATACATTATTTTTTAGCAAAAAAATCGCTATTCATTTTCCTTTAAAATTTTAAAATTTCCAATTATCTTTTCATCTTAAGTTTGTTATTCTAATATCAACACAAGACAATCATGAACACAGATTTCAAAACCGCTATAGTTCTATAATTTCAGAAGAATATATTCTAAGTTTTTACTAAATTCATCCAAAGTTGTCAGGAACTCAAAACATACTTTAGACCATAATATATTATGCTTACAAACAGCAATGGATCACAGTATTGTCGGTGTGAGGGAGTTGGAGGGCAGGAGTGCCACATTCCCCCTCTAGCCATTGCTGACACCTATACAGTACTAAAATTTTGAGTTAGTTTTCTACATCTACATCTACTATAGTCAGAACTCTGACTCTGACTTCCCTTACCCTAAAATTTTAGGACTAAGCTCGGTTACTGCCCACAGTTCAGTCTTTTACCCCTTCCAGACATTCACTAATGTTATGAATTACAATGTTCAGACTCTGTCCTCTTATAGCAGGATTTGGCCTGCCTACAGAACAGTCGCTGGCACAAATATTTTCCCCAATCATTCCTCCCTCCTGCGGTTCCATGAACTATAATCACCAACCTTCAGAAATAAAGATGCATGTATCTATCAGGAAAACTACTTTACGAGCTGGTAAGGTTTTCAGTGATTTGTGGTTGAGTTTTAGGTGAGATTGCTTGACACACTATTCTGCCATTTCTCTATCCCTGCAGGTTCTACTTTAATTTCCCTTCTGCCTATTAATTAATATGCGTTAATCTGAGTGATTACAATACAAATTAATCTTAGTATGCTTTTATTTTCTTGAAAAGTATTCAAAATTCATTCTTTCTGAGCTAGAAAAATTTAACTTTTGGCCCTTTATAGATATAAGCAAAATATTCAGAATATAGGCAGTAAACACTCCAGGAATCTAACTTAAATCTAAGATTTACCTGGTTCCTTTTAGCATAGGTATTCTATTAAGTTACAAGGTAATCTCCCTCTGTAAGAATGCAAAATTCTGAATGTATTCCTAATATAGCACAGTTCTACACAAAAAATAAAAATTCAATGTTTTTAGAACTTTTATTTCTAATTAACAACCTTTACACTTTGTAAGCCATGATATTCTTTCTTCAAATATTACTTAGATGTATTATTAGAGGAAATTAATATTACTAGAAAGTACTATTGGAGGGAAAGTTGAGTGTTGTATGGGTTAGGGACCAAGATTCAATTCTACCCTCTGTTCATCCCTCATCAAAAATGTATGCTTTAAATTCACTTACTTCACCGGGGCTCGAGCGTAAACCTGAAGCCAGTCAGGTATTTCTGCAGTATGATATGGATTTGCAGGTACCAGAAGGGACTGATTTCTTTCAGTTTGCTGTGGTTGGTATGTGACAGGAGGAGGTTGATCATATCGAGGAACACTGAGAAGAACAAACATTCTTAAGAATGAAGGCCCTTAAATTTCAGAAAGAAATTTATTATATATTTTTATCTACTTATTATATGGTATACTAAAGCATTTTTCAAATGTCTCCCACGCCCACTACGTTCCTCCTATCATTTAAAAACACATCATTTTTTTTTTTAAATTTTATTTATTTTTTTGGGGGGGTCACACCCAGCTATGCACAGGAGTTACTCCTGGTTCATGCACTCAGGAATCACTCCTGGCAGTGCTCAGTGGACCATATGGGATGCTGGGAATCGAACCCGGGTTGGCTGAGTGCAAGGCGAACGCCCTCCCCACTGTGTTATTGCTCCAGCCCCCATTTTTCTTTTTAAGATAGGGTAAACATCTACACTTACAAACTAGTAAAATCTAAACCTGAGCTAATTCTATACATAATTTTCAGGGATTTTTGTTGGCAGAAAGTGAAATTTTGGTACAGGTTGTGCAGTAAAAGTGAATACTGTACTTGAAATAGCCACACTAACTCGTTTCCTTTCTACTTTACCATTTTTAGAGAGCCCAAAGGAATTAGAGTTGACAGAACATACTAAAAAGCTTAGAGATTCAATGATAAGTAAAAGATATTGCTTTAAATTAGTTATAACGACCAATTTATATTAAGAGAAGTAAGATAGTAACAAGGTGGTAAAGGAAACAGTTATATAGGAAAATGTTTTTACTAAGAGGGGTGCATTAAACCATTTGAAGGTTAAAGGTTAAATTCTTGGGACAAAAATAATTCATTCCACACATGAAGACAAAACTGGAAGAATCTGCATTGTCATAAGGATAACATGTGTCAAGCACTAGTAACATGTTAGTCTGTGATTAAAAACTTTAAAGATTCATGCCCAAATGACACAAAATTTTATCTTCAGCTCTTCTTTCATAAAAACAATGTGAAATGTTGCACGACTGTCAGGCGGGGAAGATTTGAGACTCAGATATGCTTAGGGGTTTTAGGTTCCATTTGAGTATTTCTGAATCCTTAGTTTTTCTCAGGAAAAACTGATTCACTTCCATAAGTCTCAGTCTCCCTGTTTATAAAACCACTCCATATGGTCCCTGAGCCTACCAGAAGTGATGCCTAAGTACAGAGCCAGGAGTAAGCCTTAAGCACCACCAGGTGTGGTCTTATCCTCCCCACTACAATCAAAAAGATAAGCTAATGCAAGTCAAGGCTTTTATGCAAGATTGGCATAACAAGACACTCAAACAGTAATTAATATTACCTACGTAAGCTTTGGGAAGATACTGTTTGACAATTTCTGAGAGAAGCATATTGTAAAATGCTTTTGCAAACCATAAAAATTTTACAATAGGCCAATGATGAACAGAAAATAAAAAGAATATATTCTTTAGATGTGAATGCCTAAACCATAAAATCTTCTACCACTTAGTAAAGAAAACACTATAATCATAAATTTGGGCAGTTCTAGGGGCTGTGTGTTTGAATTTTCCATTTTTTTATTTGTTCAGCAAACATCTGCTGCCTTTCACTGTATGATGTCTCTGCTTTGGGTGCTGCAGAGAGAAAGGAATATTTACTTATTTCCATTTTTAGGTATCTACAACAAAAATATCATGGAATATTAAAACAATATGGTCAAAAGAATACTGGCCCTTTGTTTTAGACGTTATTTAAAGGAAACACTTTTTTTTAATCCTAAAAGTCATTCATTACTAAATGTAAGTACACAGAAAAAATCATAAACTTTAAAAAATATTAAACTTCAAGATGCCTTTTTCTTTGATAAATCTCAACATTTGGCAATCTCAAAACAAAAAGCTGAAAATAAAGGCAATACTCTACCTGGGAGCACAAGGATGCCTATACTGAGCCTTTTTATTTGTGTGATCTACGTAATAGGTTCCAAATTCTGATGATTCAACTCGTTCCCATCCTGGAGGAAGTCCTTCTCGTTCAAGAGGATGGCTCCAATGAGTTGTATTCGTGTTATGATCTATATAGTATTTTCTCCCTCTCATTGTCCAGTCCACAGACCAACCAGGGGGCAGGGGTAAATCTTCAGAACCATGGTTAGTTAAATTTCCTAAAGATGTAGCAGCAATTCTCCCAATACCTAAGGACAAAGAGGAAGAGTAAAAAAACAAAAACAATTTTTCAGAGACAAAAAAATATGCCATCTGAGAAAGTTACAAAATAAACTACACTTATTAAAATTCTGTAATAATTTATATTACAAATTAGTTTTAAAGATAAAAATAACATTACTATCAATTATAAGGGGAATACTAGTTCCCTTCTTAGAAGTTAGGTATTTTTAAAGTTTGATCATACAATAACAATTAGCAAAGAACACTTAAGTAAATATACTACTGGAGGAAAGTTGAGAAAAAGAAAATTTTACCTCATTCAAGATGTAAGATTTGATAGTTCATCTAAGAGTTAAAATGAAGAACTTGCAGAGCTGGAGAGAGAGCTCAAAGGGCTGGAATGTGAGCTTTGCATGCAGAAGACAGCCCAGGTTCCATCTCTAGCACTGCATGTCCCTGAGCACCAACAGGAGAATGAACAGAACCAGGAATAGCTTTTGAGTAGTGCCAGGTGTGGTCCCCAAACAAAAACCAAACAAAAATGCTCAATATTATAGAGTCATCTGAAAATCACTGTATCACTGTCATCTTGTTGTTCATCAATTGCTTGCGCGGGTGCCAGTAATGACCCCATTCGTCCCAGCCCTGAGATTTTAGCAGCCTCTCCTTACTCGTCTTTACCAACACTGCTGTATTAGAGGCTCTTTCAGGGTCAGGGGAATGAGACCCGTTATTGTTACTGTTTTTGGCCTATCAAACACTCCACAGAGAGCTTGCCAGGCTCTACCATGTGGGCAGGGTACTCTTGGTAGCTCGCTCGGCTCTCAGAGAGGAACGGAGAATGTATATAAGAGAATATAAGCAAGTATGTTAAAACCAAACATGTGTGCTGCTTTGGGTATATCAGTGTGCTAGACTATAAGAGGTTCCCCCCATCTCTGGATCTTGGCCGTTGATGGGAATACATCTGGAAATACTGATTAAAACCCCATCTATGACACTGGGGCCACCTAAAGAAAGTAAGTCTGACTATATTTTGACAAGGGTGTGGAACAACTGAAATTCGCATACATTGCTGGTAGGGATGCAAAATGATCATCTGGAAAAATAGGTTGATAGTACCTTCAAAGTCAAATATAAGCTTTTCATATACACAGAATTTCTATTCCAAAGACTTTAACCTAGAGTGTGAAAACTGATCTTTCAAAAATAAAAACCTATGAAAGGATTTTTAATATTGTGTATAATTGCCAGTGGAGGAAAAAAAAAAAAACCCTTGTCCTTCAACAGAAAAGGTAAGCTGCAATAAGCACCAATAAGCACCAGTGAGCTCTCTGGAATCCACTCCAGAAAAGAAGGGGGCTAGGGGTGGAAAACAACCACCAACTCACATATCCTTAACATGGCTAACTCTTTGAGGTATTATTCTAACTAAAGAGTCAGTCTCAAGTGGCTATTAATAGCATGATTCCAAAGGAAAAACAAAGAGGCAGGAACAAAGGGACAGCAAGAGATTGACTGCAATCTGGTGACAGTGATGGAGAGTAATGGAAGTGAACTGCAAACTGTACTGGCATTATACAGCACTGCATACTAGAACTAAGGGCTATGTACCTTTAAAATGTTAAGTACCATTATTATTTGGAGGGAAAAGAACCTGAGACACTTGTGCAGTACTCAACCCTGAACTCAGCAGTTAGAACAAAGATTTAGTTTGTAAGTCTCTAACTTAGGTTAGATTGAGCTCAGAAGAAGTTGTCTCTGTTACTGTATCATAGGATAAGTGATAGGAGGCCCCAAGTGCCTGGACCTCCATTTCTTTTCTGACCTATGTTGCTTCTTTTTAATCTCTTGAGATCATTCTGTTCCAGCTATACTTGAGGTTTTCCAGCATGGCAACCACTGGTTATTCATTCCAAATCTTCTTTATATCTTTAGTTATCTTCAGATAGCTCCGTGGCTCCACCCTCCCTCCCCTTCCTCAAACCTTTTCTCAAATATGCCCAAATCGTTTTAGACAACCAATGCAAAAGTAATTCAAAGGAGAAAACAAGTCTTCAATAAGTTCTGATAGTGTAAATGGACAACCAATAAGCAAAACAAAACAAACCCTGATTTAAACTCCATATCATAGGGGCTGGAGAGATAGCACAGTGGGTGGGGCGTTTGCCTTGCACGCGGCCGACCCTGGTTCGATTCCCAGCATCCCATATGGTCCCCTGAGTACCGCCAGGAGTAACTCCTGAGTGCAGAGCCAGGAGTAACCCCTGTGCATCGCCAGGTGTGACCCAAAAAGCAAAATAAATAAATAAATAAATAAAAAATAAACTCTGTATCATAGACAAAAGTTAATTCAAGTGGGTCACTAAAACATAAAACATGAAATATGAAACTGTTAGAAAGTATTATATAAAGGAGAAAATCTATATAAGAACAAATGGTTTGCATTCCCCACTCTTCTATCAGATGTTAAGAGGCAATTATAATTTCTTCTAGTTCTGCACAATTTCACAAATTTTAGATTTTCACTTAGTTTGTTTGTTTTATTTTGGGGCCATACCCACCTATGCCCACCGTATGTATGGCCAGGGATTTGAATCAGTGTCTAACAGATGGAGGGCAACTATTGTACTAACTCTCTGACCCCTAACTCAGTATCTTTAGGAGGAAAGGCATAAAGGTAAAGGTAAAATAAAGGTAAAGGCCCTCCCGTTGATCGTCGATTTGCTCGAGTGGGCCCAGTAACGTCTCCATTGGAGACTTTGTTGTTACTGTGTTTGGCATATCGAATACTCTCGGTAGCTTGCCGGGCTCTCCGAGAGGGGCGGAGGAATCGAACTCGGGTCGCCCATGTTGGCCACGTGTAAGGCAAACGCCCTACCCGCTGTGCTATCGCTCCAGCCCGGAGGAAAGGCATATATTTCTAAAATAGATGAGTAGTATATAACAAAGCTAGTCTTACCCAGGCTTCTGTTAAAATACAACAATATTTAACATGCAGCTCAAGCAACTTAAATATTTAAAAAGAAACAAATCAACATATTAAAAACATGCACAGAACAAATTGGAGTCATATTGTGTGAGTAAAGAAGGTACTTAGAACAGACTTCTACAATATGGACATTTCTCAAAAAATTAGCAATTGAGCTTCCATACAACCCAGCTGTTTCACTCTTTGGAATATTCTCCAAGGGCCAAAAGCAAATGCAGAAAAGACATCCATACTCCTAAGTTCATTGCAGCACTACTCATAGCAGTTAAAATCTGGAAACAACCCAAGTGCCCAAGCACTGATGACTGGATAAAGAAACTGTGGTACATATGCAAAATAGAATACTACTTGGTCTCAAGAAAAGATGAAATAATGCAAGTTATTGCTATGTGAATGATTCTAGAGAGTTTCATGTTGAATGAAGTTGGAGGGACAGTGTCAGACACAGAATGATCTCTTTCATATGTAGGATATGAAAAAACTTCATGGGAATAACAAAGGCCCAAAGGCAACAGAAACAAAGCACAGGAAAACTCGTCTTCAGTAGGAAGACCTCGCCACTGGGGCAGGTGTGGGGGTAATACGTTAGGGAAGGAAACACTAGGACAACTGACAACAGCAGAAAGGAGTGACTGCCAAAGAGGCAGACTGCAGGGGTTGGGGATAGAAGGAAACTTAGGACACTGGTGAAGGGAAGTGGACACTGGTGAAGGGATTGGTGTTGGGACATTGTATGTGTGGAAATAATTTTAGAACTCTGAATTCATGTTGTCAATTAGGAAAAGGAAAAAAAAAATCTTTCCCAAATTGTGACTTTAACATGTGGATCATTTCCAACTGAAATCAAACAAAGCCCTACAGGCTCAGTAGAAACTTGTATTCTCTCAATTACCTGAATGCAAGTTAATTAGGGGTCTCAATCAGAATTAGGGTAATCCATCTCACACCTCAGAGACTGGCCCACATTCAAAAGAACAAAAGCAACCGATGCTGGCGCGGATGTGGCGAGAAAGGGACACTCCTTCACTGTTGGTGGGAATGTCGACTAGTTCAGCCCTTTTGGAAAACAGTATGGACGTTTCTCAAAAAATTAGAAATTGAGCTCCCATTTGACCCAGCGATACCACTCCTGGGAATATACCCCAGAGAGGCAAAAATGTGTAGTCGAAGTGACATCTGACTTGTTTGTTCATTGCAGCACTGTTTACAATAGCCAGAAACTGGAAGAAACCTGAGTGCCCAAGAACAGATGACTGGTTAAAGAAACTCTGGTACATCTACACAATGGAGTACTACGTAGCTCTTAGAAAAGATGAAGTCATGAAATTTACATACAAGTGGTACAATATGGAAAGTATCATGCTAAGCAAAATGAGTCAGAAAGAGAGGGATAGACATAGAAAAATTGCATTCATCTGGGGGATATAAAGTAACAAAGTATGAGATTATAATACCCAAGAATAGCTGAAATCAGCACCAGGAGGATTACTCCATAACTTAGAGGCCAGCCAGGTATCCTAGAGGAAAGGGCAGTTCAGATAGAGAAGGGAGCACCAAATAAAGGATGTTTGGAGGATCCTCCCAGGAGGGGAGATGCATGTTGAAAGTAGACTATGGACTGAACATGATTGCCACTCAATGCCTCTTTTGCAGACCACAACACCCAAAAGGAGAGAGAGAACAAAGGGGAATGCCCTGCCACAGAGGCAGGGTGGGAGGGGGGTTGGGGGGAAATGGGCACTGGTGGAGGGATGGGTATTTGATCATTGTATGACCGAAACTCAGGCACAAAGATTTGTAAATCTACAACTGTACCTCATGGTGCTTCACTAATAAAAATAAATAAATAAATAAAAAGGAAAAACAACAACAACAACAAAAAAAAAGAATTAGGGTAATCACCAAAAAAATAAAAAAGCTACTTCTGTCATGAGTCCCACCCTTTCTTCCTCTGCCCGCACCCTACCCCACACCATCCCATCCCCTAGTTCAGGACATTTAGTCCCTTTCCTTTTTCAAGCACCTCATCTTTGTGAACCTCCTTGAAGTATGAACTTTCTCGCCCCTCCCACTACTAATTTATATGATGACTCTGATTATTCAAAAGCTTACAAAGAATGCAGCAGAGTACAATATGGAAAAAAATATTTTTCCCCATCACTAACGTGTATTACTAATCAAATCAACAATAGCAATTTTTAAAGATAACAGTCAACTGATATATTTGCATTGAGTTCTTTGTAAGAGCCATAGCATTTTGGTCCAACAGAGAACTCTTTGGAAATAAGTTTCTAATTATAGCATTATTTTTTGGCTGGAGGTGGGGGGCTCCTACAGTTAGTAGTGTTCAGAGCTTACTCATGCCTCAGTACTTAAGAATCACTCCTGGTGGGCTCAGGAGAACAATGAGATGCTGGGGATTGGACACAGGTTGTTCTGCCTTTCCTCAGGCTGCTTTTAATCAAGTTGAAAGTCCAGTTCAAGACCTTCCACAAATCCTTCTCAAGTATTCCAACCTACATTGGTCACTCTCTTCCAACCCCCGTTACACTGACGGACAATACCACAAAGTATTACAGCTAATTTTTCTGATTACTTTGTATTTATTGGTCTTGTTCTCACAAATAAGAGAACAGAGGTTATCAATGAAGAAGGTCAAGAACAAAATGCCAGATACATAAATGATTACTGCTAAATAAAAAGTGTTCTATAGTCAATGTGCCCAAGCTCCAAACTGTTTTTAAGTTTCCGAAGTTCAGAGTGTTAAAAACTAAGGGTATTTTTTGTTTAGCCTGGCAAAATTTCAAGCCTAAATTTTGCCAAGGGGGGGGAAAATAAAGAAAGTTCAATTTATCTCGTGTAATCCAGTACTTTAAGAATAATTTAGAACATGCATTTTTCTTGTCATCTCCTTATACAAGGATCCTAAAGTCAGCAAATATGGAGAGCAGATTCTTTTAAATTATACTAGTATTTTTGCCCATTTCAAAAGAAATGTTCAACACACAAGTAACCATATGACAACAAGTTTTTTTGACCAACTAGGAAAATACAAGCTATAAAAGCAGTTTTGTTAAGAGTAGACTGTTAAGAAAGACAATGCAATTCTAGCTAAGTAACAATGTCCAAGGCTTTCTACCTTCCCTTTCCCAAGTTCAAGTTCAATTTCTCTGAAACCCTATCCTTTCCAATAAAATCTTAATTTGGATTAAATCTCACTGTAACCATTATATGTTTCCAAAGTCCAAGTGTTAAAACTTGGATAGCCTTAACACCAGCTTTGTATCATGAGCAAATAAATAGACCCAAGAATTTTTTAATTCAGTATAGAAGTAACTGTGTGCAAGCCAGCTTAGCAAGACTGACAAAATGAAAAAATATATCTGAAGTAGTATTTATAATTTCACAAGAAAATCCAGGGGAGACAAACTGTATTAATTAATCTAAATATAAGTGAATTTTAATTTATAAGTGCTATTTATAAGTTACCTGAGGTATGCCTCCCCTGATTCTGTGGCATTCTTTGGAAGAGATCATGGCTGTATTCATAATATCTATAGTCTTCATGTGCATGATCTCCAAGTGGGCGTCTTCTCTGACCATCAAAATAACTATCTGAATAGTAATAGCGGGAACCAGAGTCTCCATTTTCAACTGCAAAATTAACGTCTGTTAAAAATGACTGAGAAGAGCCATATTCCCTAGGGACATCTGTTAGACTCCGAGCAAGATAGGAAGGTGCAGACAATCTGTTGCTTTCTCTTCTCATTATTTCATGAGGTGTTCTCTGAACTGGAGTTCTAAGGAAACTCTGGTTTCTTGAAACTATTCCATCTCCAGAAGTTGAAAAGGCATTAGGGCTTGAATCCAGAAGACAGATATCAGTCCGTCTTGGAATTGTTGGACCATGCCGGATAAATGAAGGCATGAGATCTAAAACAAAACAGAGTAATCATGACACTTTCAAAACCAGTTTATTTACTTCTATTATCCCCAAATGCAAAATTTTATGAGATCAAGAAAATACAATTTAAAGTTTTGGTGTAAGATGTTACTTGGGTATTTTTAAAATGGAGACTGATTAATATCTTCCCACCTAAAGGAATTTATTGGCAGCAATTTTCATATACAACTCGGTCAGAATCAAATGAATACTGCATCTACCATATGGAGACATGTCAGTTAAAACAACTATAAAATACACAGTAATGAACTACTCATGAACAAGTGTTTAAAAATAGGACACAATCTAACAAACAGTTACTAAATACCTTTTTAGTTTAGTTTGCTTTGTGGATTTCATATTCAAAATAGCCAAGAAACCTTCTTTTTGAACAAACAAAATTCAAAATATGAATATGATGTTACTCCTAAGCATGTAACAATGATGTTTAAGTATTTATGCATTTTTGAAATACTGGGATCAAGTCTAGGACCCCATGAATGTAAGGCATGAGCTTTACCAATGAGTCACATCCCCGGCTAAAAGGATTTTAAGGGCTGGGATTGTGGGACAGCAATAAGTACATGTCTCTCATGTTCAAGACCTTGGGTTCAATCACCATATGAAAAAAATTTATTAACAACTTCCTACATTGGTAATTAATAGCACTAGTATAGCAATCGTATGCTAGTAAAACATAGTTATGGAAATTTTAAGAATAAAAGCTTCTCATTACAATGGGACACATACGCTGAATTCTTTTAGGAACTCCACACCTAAAACTGCCTCCTTTGAACACAATTATAACCCAAGACAGAGGATAATAATAGTACAATAGCTTTTAGAATATAGTCCTTTAGATAAAAATGTGAAATATGTAGACATAACTGGTTAAAAAATATTTTTAAAACATTGAGAAAACTGGATCTGGGGTTGTATTAGCTCACTAATATTTGAGGGCACACTTCTGAAGCTTATTCGGAAGCTTGACAGAAATTAACATTTGAATAAATATGGCTTAACACTAGATGAAGCTAAAACATTGCATCAAATGTTATTTGCTTAGAGGTATGGCAAACATATTTCATGATTTTCAATATTTTACTATCTGCTGCTGTGAGCTATAATAAACTGCCAAAAGCCTAAGCACATAAGTAACAGAAAAAGTGTTTTTTGAAAAAAAAAAAAAGTTGTAGGTGCCAAAGAGATACAGGACAGTGGGTAGCACACAGCTGACATGGGTTTAATCCTGGCACAGAAGGTGGTCCCCTCAGAACAGCCAGGTGTGGTCCCAAAAGAGAAACAAAAAGGAAAGGAAGGGTTTAAAGGGACAGAGAGATAGTACAGTGGGTATGGCACTTGCCCCACACAGACCAACCAGGATTCTATCCCAATCAAATTGTATGATGCCCAAAGCACAGCCAGGAATGATCCCTGAACACAAACCCAGTAATAAGCACTGCTGGGCACGCCCCCCGACGCCCCCACCTCCAACACAACCCCCCAAAAGAAAGAAAAGGCTGAAAAAGTTTCAGGTTATTGCTGTACTCATCTGTTCTATTCTTCTATTTAAAAATGTACTGCAAACACAATGATGAATCTTTGCGGATGACTGCGGTTATGATGGGGAAAACATGCTCTCTGCCCCTTGTATGACCTTAAAGCAAATAAATACTAGGAACCTCTATGAACAGTTTTCCCAAACGATACATAAGGCCATGCTTCACTCAAAAGGTTACCACCGGCTTCCATGTAGGAAACTTCTACAAAGGGCCCAACGTGCAATAATGCACACCCAAACATGAGCACCTTGGCCCCAAACATTCTGGAGACAAGCAAAACTTTCGAAGATGCCACCGTGAAACCCAACATTTAAAATCCAATAGAAGCAAAGCTCCGGGAACGAAGGGGGCTGTGGAGCCTGGAAGACAACCTGCTGAAGTTTAAAAAAAATAAAATAGTAACTTTCGGCTGATGATTTCCTCTAATATGCGGTCTGTATGCTGAGTGTTTTTGCGACTCTGGAAGGTGTTATCTGAAGTTCCACTCCGAGTGCGGAGAGCCCGGGAGAAAAAATCCTTACCCAAGGCATCTGCAACAAAGTGCAGCAGCGGAGAGCGACAGCGGAGTGGGCAAACTTACACGGGCGCCTTCCCCACGCACCTACGGGAGCCAAAAAGGCCGCGTCCGGGTCCGATCGCCTCTGCCCAGCAGCAGCTGCGGCAGAGGGGAACCGGCGGGCTACGCGCTTCCTCGAACCTCTTCCAGTAATCAAACAACACCCAGCCGGCAGGGAACAGGGAAGCTGGCGTTTTTTCAAGGTGAGGGGGGGTGGGGGTGGGGTGTTCCGGGCGGAAGGGTGTGCGTGTGCGTGTGCGTGTGTGTGTGTGTGTGTGTGTTTGTCTTCATCCAAGTTTTCTGACCTGCTCAGCTTTCAAAGGGGGGTGGGGTGGGGGGACGACGAGGGGAATGAAACCGTATACACAGACCAGCAGGAACGCAGAGGTGAGGGGGGCGAGGTGGGGTGGGCCGGAGGGGAAGCCCGGGGGGCGCCCGGGCCAGGTGCGGGCGCGCCCCTCCCGACAGCGACACTCACTCCGCAGCAGGGGCGACGTCTCCTTCTTCACGTACTTGCCCTGCACCTCGGCCGGCTTGGACACCTCATTTTTGGTTTTCTTTCGGGACAGCATCCTGGGGCGCCAGGTCCGCCGTGCCCGCCCTGGCCGCGCCGCAGCAGCCTCCTCCCTAGGGTTCCGCGCCCCGCGCCCGCCGTCCCCGCCGCCGCCTCTCCGCAGCCCGGGGTCGCCCGCAGGGACTGCCGCATGTTCGGGGCGCTAAGCGCGCCGGCCGCCGCTCCCTCGCATGCCACGGCCTGACCGGAAGTCCGCCCGCTTCGTCGGCTGGCCCGTGGAGTCCGTGAGGCGAGGCCAGGGACGTCGAGCCAGGGCCATGGTCCGCGGCGGCCGCCTAGTAACCGCTACCGCCGCCGCCGCCGCCGCCGCCGCCGACGTCCCGTAAACTTTCCCCGCGGCCGCTGGGAATTCTGGGAAACTCGACGCAGCGCGAGCGCCGCGGCCCCTCCTCCCGTTCCCCCCTCCCCAGCGCCTGGGCGCGGCTCTCGCGGCTGCTGGGCGCGGGCGCGGTTCGCGCAGCTAACGGGCCGGTGCCCCCCCCCCCCCCCCCCACACACACACACACCGTAGTCCCCGGATTGGGGCGCCGCCTCCGTCTTCACGCCTCGGCCTCTACGGTCTGGAGAGGAATAAGAGCTGAAGCTTGCCAGTCCGGGCGAGGGAGGCACGTTCTCTCCGTGGTGTTACCCCCCCCCCCACCATTCCCACCCCCACCCCTACCCCCACCCCCACCCCCAGGACCTTGAGGGCGCGCCGACGCCCTCTCCACACTCTACTTGTTTGGCTCCTCGCCCTCCAGGGAGCACGGCCCGCTCGGAATTTATTCCTGGGGCTGCGCCTTGGAGGTTCCAAGTCACGCTGAATACGGAGAAAGAATTGCCACTCACCCCCGTCACGGTTGTAAATGGCTCTTTTTATTGGGCCCACGGACCCGTCTAATATGAAGTGGAGATATAAATGTATGCCCAGAGTGCGCCTTCCTGCTGAAGGAAGAAACATAATAAAAGGAAGGAAAACGGCAAAACGGAAATAAATTTGATGTTGGCATCTTAGTTCAACATCATTATGTTGAATGACCACCTAGTTCCTTTTGGAACGAAGTGTTGTGAAGTTAGAATGCTGAAGAGTTTCAGCACTAAAGGTCCACCAACCTGGAATTTTGCAGCTAAGTCAGACCGTGCTTTATAACAGTTAGCAGAGTTGCCAACTGTGCAAGGTAACATTTGGAAGATGCAATGATCTCTCTCTCGAAGTGACCAGATTAAGGCTTAGGTCCTGGAGACGAGTCTTCCTGAGATCAGTGCACCTAAGGAGAGATGTGGAACAGTTAACACTGTCCAACAAGGCAAGGACAAGATTAGGAAGATTGTCACATTTTGTTAGAACAAAAAGCTTTCTCTAGTGTCCATTTCTGCTTGCTGCTCCACTTCCTGGGCACCCATCTCTCATTCATACAGCAGCCCACAGGTATGTCTTCCCTGCTTGGGATACAGTAATAAAGTACACAGGAATCAGCCTTGTATTCACAGTGAGGAGGGGAATATAGGAGGAAAGTGGTGAAACTGCCACCTAGTCTTAATTGCTGTGGTGCAAACAAAACAAGAGAGTTTTAGAGAGCATATTAGCAGGACAGGAAAAGACTGGCAAAGAGATCATGGAGGTGAATAACGAAATGAGGAAAGTGACAGTGGAACTCTCTAAAGGAAGTGCTTTCCAGGCAGAAACCGTGGTGAATGCAAAGGCCCCTCAGGTACCGCAGTTCTAGGCAGATGGAAAATTAAAACTGTCCATGCACCGGGAGCAGAGAGGAATAGTGGGAATGGAGTTCGGAGGGTATAATGGTCAGTGCAGAATCCAAAGCCTTGAAAACATTGTAGGGAATTTCACTTTGAATGGAGGAGTAAGATGATATCATCATGTTTAAGGATCACGTTAGCTGTGAGAGTAGACTGAAGGGGTGCAAGGAACAGTGATAGGAAGCAGTGGCTGGTTTGAAACTGGGTATACAGCAGTGGAGATGAAAAATGGGCAGATTTTAGGTATACTTACAGCACCAACAGAATTTGAATATGGAATGTGAAAGAAATCAAGGATGGTTCTCATGGATTTATTTAGATATGTATGTATGTAAGTCTCAACAGAAAAGAGTGGTACAAAAATCATAAAAAGTAACTTGCCTATTGAGAGCAGTAGTGGAAAATCAGAACACTCCTCCTGGCCATTCTGAGTTAAGGAACAGAACTCCAGGAGAACCCAGATAGGTTCTGTTAGGGTGCGAAGGCAGGAGAGGACAGAAAGAAGGGGACTCTGAAGAAGATCCAGTTTCTGCCAAGTGTGTAACTCAGGTGCTGGAGCGATAGCACAGTGGGTAGGGCATTTGCCTCTCACGTGGCTGACCTGAGTTCGATTCCTCCATCCGTCTCGGAGAGCCTGGCAAGCTACCGAGAGTATCCTGCCCGCACGCACGGTAGAGCCTGGCAAGCTCCCCGTGTTGTATTCTATATGCCAAAAACAGTAACAAGTCTCACAATGGAAAGGTCACTGGTGTCCTCTCAAGCAAATTGATGAATGGGAGGACAGTGCTACAGTGCTACAGTATCTCAGAAGGTGAACAAAAGGACGTCAGGGTCTTGTTAATAAGGCCAGCTTTTTACTCCTGGGTTTTCCCAGAAATGAAAATACATGATAGGGCACCTTTTACATTTTGTGGAGGAAAGAATTTTGAGACTTTGGGGCTGGAGAGGTAGAACAGAAGATGAGGCATTTGCCTGGCACACTGCTGACCTGGGTTCAATCCCCAGCACCGCATAGGTCCCCTGAGCGAGAATTTCAGGAGTGAAACTGAGCACAGAGCTTCCAGAAGTAAACTCTAAGCACAGCTGGGTGTGATCCCAAAATAGGAAATAAAATTCTGAGACTGGAATCTAGGCTAATGATACCCACGTAGAAACAAAACTGGGGAATAATGTTTTCCTCAGATTATATTCCTGGCACGTTAAAATCAGAACTAGAGTTTTCTCTTCTCGTTTTGGATTTTTTTCTGTTATAGCACATTAAGAGTTACACTAATATGAGTCCAGATTCCTCTTAACAGTTGTTTTGAAAACCGTCCATGGTCCCTCCAAGGTACTCCTCTCTTCAGTGCTATTTAAATTCTCTGAATTACAGCAGAGAGAAAGCCTCAATTAGGTGCTCTTTTTAAGAGCTATAATTTGCCTTTTTATCAAGAAGATGCATTCCAGAAACAGCAATCTGCAAGCAACATCAGTAAAAGCAAGGCACAGCAAATATGTCAAACTTTAAATACATAGTCTTAAATCTAGAAGTTTTAAATGTTTTCTAGAAATTCCTGGACTTCTGGGATTTCTTACTAGGAAATCCAGATCTTGCATCTATCAGATATCGAATTTGATAAACTTAACACTGTGTTACATAATAGAGATAATTTTCCTGGTTAAGTAATAATGAATATTTCCTATAAAATATCTTTGAAATCAAATTTTCATGGAGAAAATGAGTGGCCAGGAAATCTTATCAGCAACTGGAAAAACTGATGTCAGACAAATCTATAATACAGAGAAATTTATATCACAATGCTCTTAAAAAAGAATCAAAATGAGTTGGTGGGGGAGGGGCTCTAAACATCACTCATACCTCATACATCATTCATAACAAGAAAAGCTGAATTTTCTTGTTTATTTATTTAAACCTACAACTATTTATTTTAGTCTTTGTTTTGTTTTGTTTTGGGGGCCACACCAGTGGTATTCGGGGCTTACTTCTGGCTTTGTGCTCAGGGATCACTATTTGTGGGGACCAGAAGACCATATTGGGATGCCGGAGATTACGACCACATACAAGGCAAGCACTTTACCCACTGTACTATCTCCCTGATCCCTATTTGTTTCTGTCTTTTTGTTTGTATCTAGGAGTTATCCAATATGCAGGGTACTGAACTCAGGAGAAAAAGTGCAAAGTATTTCTTGTTTATTTTTTAAGACGCACTGTAGCACTGCCCTCCTGTTGTTCATCAATTTACTCGAGGGGGCGCCAGTAACAGTCTCCATCGAGAGACTTGTTACTGTTTTTGGCATATCGAATACACCACGGGGAGCTTGCCAGGCTCTGCCATGTGGGCGGATTACTCTCGGTTGCTTGCTGGGCTCTCCAAGAGAGACAGAGGAATCGAACCCAGGTCGGCCACGTACAAGGCAAATGCCCTACCCGCTGTGCTACTGCTTCAGCCCTTTTTTAAGATGATTTGACATATTTTTGGCGGTGGTTGGGGGCCACAGGGTAACAGCCAGAAGTGCTCAAGGCTTACCCCGGCTGTGTTACTGAGACTATATATATGGTGCTGGGGATTAAACTGGGGTTGGCCACTTGCAAGGCAAATGCCTTACTTCCTGTACTATCTCTCTGGCCCTAATGTTGATTTTTTATTGAAGTAATGAAGTAAAGTATATATGTACATATAAATGGCTTTTCAAGAGGTGAATGTTTTTGTAAGCAGTGCTTAGATCAACAGAGTACTGTCATCACATAACTGTCTCCATCCCATAGTTGATGCTAGCATCAGATGATCCCCCAATTCTATAGTTGTCGTCCTGAAAGCCCCAAGGTACCACTGGGGGACCTCCGTTACCCCTAGCATCATAGAAGCTGAGCAACACTGCATCTTCAGGCCCCTATGTTTTCTCACTAATGAGTATGATTGGCCAAAACTTGCAGGTGGCAACCCAAAGCTTTCTGACTGCTACTTGAAAGACTCCAAGCAAACAAATTTAAAACTTTTGGAATTAGAGAGATCGCTCAAAGACTGAATACATACATTGCATTTCAAAGGCCCAGGTTAGAATCTAGACCATATAGAGGTGGGAAGCTCAGTAAATATTTACTCAGTTCTCATTAATGGGATGTCTAATGTGAAAATACCTGCATCTCTTCTATCCCACGCAGGTGCCTCAAGGATACTCAGAAATAACAACTTTTCCCCTTTTACCTAAATAAGTTGTGCCACTACTTAACTACATAAGTTTTTATTTATTTATTTATTTATTTATTTATTTATTTATTACTGTGACCACTCCTGCTGTGAACATTCTTGCAGAGAACCACTGGAAAGGTAACCTCCAAGTGCCCCATGGAAACTGAGACAAAATATTCCTGCCTTCAATAACTGTTAGCTTCAATAAGCTGTTTCACTAGCTTTCCTCCGCCCCCTCACCCCCCCCCACCCCGTCATATCTGGCCGTGTTCAGGACTTACTCCTGGCTCTGCACTCAGGGTTCACTCCTGGAGGGGCTCAGGAGACCATTTCGGGTGCTGGTCAGGTATGTGCAAGGCAAGGCAAGTACATTACTGGCTATACTTTTGCTCTGGCCCCTTCACTAACCTTTTAACATTACCACCTC